CCGCGCTTGAGTATACTGCAAAGTCTGTAAAATAACAGTAGGGACATTAACTGCTGTCGGTCCGTGACTGTCGGTAGGATATATTGCTGTACTGCGGGGGCGCATGGACTGTCACTGCCGCTGTGCATACTCCATAACCTGAAAATAATATTATAGGCATTAATTGTTACCGTTTATGACAAGCTAAATTGTGGGATGACTCGCTAGCACGAGCTGAAAAGAATTGGCGATAGATTCTTACCTGTAACCAACTGCAGGGATAAAATATCATATTGCGGAAATACGTATATTGATGTTGCACTGGAATGCACCACAGGATCTGAAAACAATACGTGAGATATTATCCGTCCTTAATTGTAGTGAAGGAAAGAGTTAGGATTTGAGAGCGTCTCAATGTAGCTAAAGATAGGTTATTGTCACCTGTATATTGACTGCAGTGGCACAGTGATGCATTGTGGGAAGGCATGTGTCGTCCTAGCATCGGTGCGCATTGTGTGACCTGAAAAAATAACGTTAGATGCATTAACTATTGGTTGATGTGACAAACAGAACCGAGGGGTGATTCGTCAACGCGATTTATAATATTTAAATAGAGGTAGGTAAGGGTACCTCAACCAGCAACAGAGACATAATATTAACTGCAAGAATGTTCGTGCCATCGCTTTGCTTCGCTGCGCCGGTGCACACTGCATGATCTGAAATAACACCAGAGGTATTGCTTATTATTGTGATAAATAGGAATAGTACGATTGGAAATGTTTCAAGAAAGTAGATATTAGAGTATTATTACCTGTCAACCAATTCCGGAGTACAGCGTTGCATTGCGGAGTGGTATGCGCTGTCGCTACATTGATGCGCACTGCATGTATGAGCTGAAATAGCATTAGAGACATTAGTTGCATTTAAATGGTAGCAAATAAATACAAGGGGAGATTAGATGGCACATCATAATGACCGAGGGCGTGGAATTAGATAAAATGTGCCATCGTTTACCGAGGAAAGTTGTCTAAACTTGATGTCGCTATTGGACTTGCTTGAGTATATATTGTTGTACCACGATGATATACATGATGCAGATGTGCCTGTGAGAATCACAAAACAATAGCTGACGGCAATCATATAGGATGTCACATATTATATATGCATATATAGTTAATGATAGGAAAATGTAATCAGTACTATTAAAGCTTTGACATGAAAGTAGCAAGAATAGTCAGAAGAAAGAGTGATAACCGCGTTAATTAGGCACCGTAGAAAACCGATACACACTGAGATTGGTCTGCCCGCGAGCGTGAACACCTTTGACAGGTGAGGTTAGGGCGCCCTTGGTGCCGGGACTGTACATAAGGAAACTCACTGCTGATATATTGCGGTAGGAAGATATATACATTGGCGAGTAACACGCACATTTAAAGCCCGTAAAAGAGGCTGGGGTGCGAGTTCTTAGATACCTTGTCTTTTTTCTCCTCTCCGTCCTTGTGGTCGTCCTAGTACGAGAGCATCGTCGAGAGACAGCCGAGATCTGCGGGGGGCGAGTACAGGTAGGCTCCCGACTCGCCTGGCCGTGGCAACGCGGGAGTAGCCGACGCCGGATAAGGTACGGGCACTGCGTGCAGTACATAACCAAACACAGAATTATTATTGTGATGCACTGGTACAGAGTGACGGGCGTGGAATATCTAACAACTAGATTAGATTTGTATTGACGAAACCGTCGACTGGATTACGGACATGAATGATGCGTATACGAGAAGTCGGGTCGCATGCATAAAGTCAAGTTTTCATGAAGCCATCAAGTCGGAAACAACATAGAGTGGTAGTTTACTTGCAACGAGTCTGAATATAGGATTATAAAAAGAATTGCGGTTAATGACTGGGCGAGTCTCTATGAAGGGACGGGATTCGGGCTCAGAAAGTTTGTTATATGGCTTTTAATGTGTATGCTTCCATGCCCGGTGCTTGGTACGACTGCGGGGCGAGCCGCATGCGCGATATATGCGGGCGGTGAATTTAAAGCCGGACTTGCATGTGACTAGTCATAGACAGTTTATAAAGGACACCCGGAGTTGTACAGTATTTCTAATTCTATTGATATGAAATATAATACTGATATAAAATATAATATAAGATTTGTTTGCGTTCTAATTGCGTTCTAGTTTTGCGTTGTGTAGCGTTGGTAGCATCATTATTATTAGTGACGAGTTTTTTATTTTGATTTTGAGTTATCTTTTGCGCATTGAGCTGTTATAATCGTTATTACTAGTTAGTTAGTTATAAGTCTTTATTCTCGACAGAATTAATGTAGATTCATCATTATTATTAGTAGTCTGTTGCGTTAATTGGTTAAGTTTAGTTAGATTTATTTACCTGTTGAAATAAGTTGAATTGAGTTGTTGCGAAGGTGTCCTTGGGTTGGCACATCGTGCACTGTTGAGTTGAGTTGAGATTCGCTCCTCCTCCGGTACAGGGTGCTAACTGGTGCGGAATAAAGGATTATTATATATAATTTCTGAAGATACCCGGGACAAGAGCTTGCCCTTTGAGTGACGCCGGCGCTGGCCCCTAGTGATACGCCTGATTGGCGTACAACGCTGTTATCTGGGTGTTTTTTGCGCCGACGTATGGTAGTGTGAATCCAAGATCTTTCAGGCATGCTCGCGATCCCCGTTATCCGAGCATGAGTGGAAAAAGGGGCAAGAGGAATAGGTCTCTTGGAAAAAACCTGAAATCAAGACAAAACATGGCAAGTCAAGAAAAGGAAAGATCACCTTTGGGGCTTCGGAACCCTGAAGAACGGCGCGAGGGGGATTCTTGTCCCTGTCCCCCCGCGTCGACATCTGACAAGGGGAGAGGGGCGGGGGGACCACGACCCCCTCGCTCAAATCTGCTATCGTGGAAAAAGTCAATCTCAAGGTGACCAGACACCCGGAAGGTACGGTATCGGTGGTACCGACTCCTGATGTGAGCATGGATAATGCGGAAGAGGACATCACCTTTGAGAAGCCTAAGGCAAGCGGGAAAGCTGGGAAGAAGTCCGAAGCCACCAGTCGGCCGGACTCGCCCGAGCTTGAATATGTCTCGACGTCGGAGGCTGGGTCCTTCTCGAGGCCCAGCACCCCACGCAATAATGATGTTGAACTGGTGTCGTATACGCCGGGACCGAGGACGAGAAGAAATTCGGAATCGTCCCGTGCCTCAACCAGTAAAAAGAGAAAGATTAGATCCTCCCCGGAAGAAGAGGAGGATGATGATAGGCGCCGCACAGGCAAATTTACTGATGATCAGAGGAGAGAGGTGGAGGACCTTGTTAGCCATATAGAGGAGCTTTCTTCCACGGACATGGCGGCTCTCGTCAATGAATGGCTGGGAGAGGTGGAAGAACTCAGACGGAAATCCCAGAATATCAAGGGATCCTTCACACGGAAGATGAAGGTGAAGGTGGAGGCATCGACCGAAGCGACGAGGATCCTAGCCATGAGAGCCTCCATGGACGGAGATGTGGGGTTCCTGCGGACAAAGGTACTTGAGATGCAGAGCGAAATAAAAACGCTTAAAGAGGATAATCAACAACTTAGACAGCAATTGGAAGATCTGCGCAGTGGAGCTCCCCTGTTTGCAAATAATATGGAGGTGGATGTCCCTGGGATGATCAAGTCACCCGACCCGCCGACGGAGTTTTATAGTCCGATAGCTGAAATGTCTCAGACAATGGAGGAAAGACCTGGGAGGGACGTTCGGAGAACCCCGATGAGGCCGAGAGGATCTCCTGTCGCCTCTGGCTCTAAGGGTCCCCTTATTGGAGAGGACTTTACAACGAAGCTTACTGCGGCTATTGGTCAAGCTGTAGCTGCCGCTATGAGGGAATACCTACCTGGGAAGGAGAAGAAGGGACCCCAATTGGAAGCTGGCTTGCGCCGAATCCCTGAAAGAACCAGATTGCTGGACAGACTCCCATCGTCCTCGGCTGCGCCCGAGTCACAGACAGATGAGGATAAAGTAGCGTACCAACCGGCTGCAAGAAACAGGTCGAGGAAGAAAAAATCCCGGGTGACGAAGGATGCGGCACCCCGCATTCTGGAGAACAAATTTAGGGAACGGTTAGAAGAGGGAAATGCCGCCGAGGGAGATCCGCCTCCGACGGCCCCGGTCCGGGAGGTGAACAAGCCGGATGCTGTCGCAGTACGGAGGGGGAACATAGAGACTGTCCGGAGAAGAGTCCCTAGATCCGCGGCGGTGACTCTATCCTTCCCTGAAGGAATGAGATTTGCGGAGGTTGTAAAGAGGGCTCGAGAGAATGTTAAGTTGGAGGACCTTGGGATACAACATACAAGGTTGAGAACAACGATGTCCGGAGCGGTACTAGTGGAGATCCCCGGCAAGGATATGTCCCCCAAGGCTGATACGTTGGCAGCAAGACTGAGGGAAACCTTTAGGGATTCGGGGGTACGGGTAGCCAGGCCAACATTAAGAGGAGAGATTCGCCTGGCAGGACTGGATGCTTCGATTGCCCCGAACGAGATTAAACAAGCAATGGCTGAAAAAGGCGGCTGTAGTATAGAGGATATCCGACTTGGACAAACCCGAGTCACTAGAAATGGTTTCCGCACGGTGTGGGCGCAATGCCCACTCAATGCCGCGATTGGTTTGGCACAGGAAGGAAGTCTGAGAGTGGGCTGGTCCACCTCGACAGTCGATCTGCTTAAAAAACGCCCGGTCCAGTGCTTTAAGTGCTTTGCCACCGGACACGTAAGAGAAAGATGCCCGAGCACGGTTGATCGATCTCTGAACTGCTTCAACTGCGGGGCAGAGGGGCACAATGCCAGGAATTGTGGCAGGCCACCGGACTGTCCAATTTGCAGGGAACAGGGACGGAAACACGACCATAGGGCCGGCTCAGATGCGTGCCCCCCGTGTCCGCCGAGAGGAGGCTTAAGTCAAAGCCCACCATCACCGCTACCACAGAGAATACCGGCAAATCGGAGTATGGAGGCCGGGCCTAGTTATCTAAAATAGGTACGATTGTGCAGGTCAATCTCAACAGGTCGGTAGGGGCGCAGGACCTCCTCATGCAGACTATGCTTGAGAGAGGCTGCGGGCTGGCCTGCATCCAGGAGCCATACGTAGTTCCCGATGACCCTCGATGGGCCCGATCTGTTGAGGATCCGCCCCTGGCTGCAATTACATGGCAGGGGATTGCCTCAAAGGGGGCAACAGTATTGGGCCGCGGCAACGGATTCGTGGTGGTTAGATGGGAAGGAATGGTAGTCGCCTCCTGCTACTTCTCTCCCAACAGGGGGCTGAATGAGTTCAGGGCGTTCCTGCAGAGTGTTGGCGACGCTATTGTGGATCATCTGAAGACTCCCCTCATTGTGATGGGGGACTTCAACGCCCGATCGCATCTGTGGGAGAACACGCACCCCACTAGACGAGGCGACATCCTGGTTACTTGGGCTGCTGCGATGAATCTCAGGCTCATAAACGAAGGGGAATCCCCCACGTGTGTCAGACCTTAGGGCACATCTATAATCGACCTGACCTGGGCCTCCTTTGCTGCGCTCGCGGTCATCCGGTCGTGGGAGTTAGCGACTGAGGAGGAGTCACTCTCGGACCACAGGCTCATATTTTTGAAGATGGGCGGGAGCAGGGACAGACCTGAACTGCGCACTCCGCGCGGATTTCCCAGATGGAATATCAGAAGTCTACAACCGGACTTACTAAGGGCTAGCTTGATGGTGGCATTCTGGCCTATGGCTGTGGAGGGCGAGAGCGCGGAAGTGCAAGCGAATAGACTACAGAATGCGATGGAGAAGGCATCGGATTTCGCCATGACTAAGCACAGAGTGGGAAACAGGAAGGCTGTCTACTGGTGGAACGGCGACATTGCCGCCCTCCGTAAGGAATGCATCAAGCTTAGACGGAAAGTTACGCGCAGTCGGAAAAAGAGGCAGGCCACAGCTCTCGAACTAGAAACCGAGCTGGCCAAGGCCCGTAAGAGGCTAAGGGTGGCGATTAAAGAAGCTAAGAACGGCGCGTGGAAGGATCTCCTTGCGACAATTAACCGGGATCCTTGGGGCAGACCATACAAGATTGTAATGGGAAAACTGCGTCCGGGAAAACCAGTATGCAAAACACTTGAGCCGGAGATGGTCTCTCGAATAGTTTCGGGGCTCTTTTCGAAAGTCGACGCGGAGAGAGCACCGAGGCAGAGAGAACTGGTCCTCTGGGACGAGGATTTTAATGTCACCGAAGAGGAAGTTCAATGGGCAGCCGGGAAACTCAAATACAGCGGAAAGGCCCCTGGCCCAGATGGAATAATGGGGGGAGTGATAAGGGAAGCACTCCCGGAGATCATGGAATCCTTGAAAAGATGCTTCTCGACTTGTCTGCGCGAAGGAACTTTCCCACAGTGTTGGAAAACGGCTAGGCTAGTATTACTCAAAAAGCCGAATAAACCGGACCGAGCACCGTCCTCGTATCGCCCGATATGCCTGCTAAACGAGCTGGGAAAAATGTTTGAAAGAATTATAGTCAAAAGAATTCGTGTGAGTCTGAACGAGGGAGTTGGACTATCGGACCAACAATTTGGGTTCCGGGAAAAAAGATCTACGGTCGATGCGATATTGCGGTTCAAGGAAACTCTTGACCCGGTGTATGGGAATGAGAAGCAATGTGCGATCGCTGTTTCGTTGGATGTGTCTAACGCGTTTAACTCGTTACCTTGGGATAGAATTAGACAGGCATTAGTTAAGAAAGAGATCCCCAATTATCTTAGGGTAGTAACGGGTGATTACCTTAATAGCAGATGGATCACTTGGATCAATGCCAAGGGAAAAAGGATCAAGGAGCCTATGACCTGCGGGGTTCCACAGGGCTCCGCCTATGGGCCTGAAGGCTGGAATTTAGCCTACGATGAGGTATTGCAGAGGGAGCTCCCTTTGGGCTGTCATGCCATCTGCTACGCGGACGACACGTTGGTGATCGCGCGGAGAAAATTTGGACATCGCAATAGCCCGGGTGGAAATGGCTGTGGCCTTGGTGGTTAGACAGATCGAAGGCCTTGGTCTGAGTATCTCCCCACATAAGACGGAGGCCTGTGCCTTCTCGAAGGCCCATAGGTTTGTACATAACAGAACGATCTTGGTTAAAGGTGTTCTCGTGTCTTTGGGCTCATCATTGAAATACCTGGGCCTGACGCTGAGCAGGAAGTGGACTTTCCGAGAACACTTTGCTCAGACCTTGACTAGGGCTGAAAGAATGTCACTTGCGCTAGCAAGGCTAATGCCCAACTTGAGGGGACCCTCAGAGTCAGTAAGGAGGGTATACAGCGCGACCATACACTCGGTGATATTTTATGGCGCCCCGGTATGGGCTTCTGCCATCAACGAA